TTCACCGAAGGCAAATTGATTATTGGTCTTATTTACAAAGCCACAAGTCTTTGAGCAGCGAGGTAAATATCACCATAATCACTTGCCTGAGGGGAATAATTGCTTTAGTATAATTTTAGACTTGAATATCAGAGAAAAGTCGAAATCCAGGATAAAAAACGTTTTAGTATAAGTTAATTCTGATCTGGAAAACTTTGGGAAACCTCATAATCACCACTCTAGCGCAGGGTTAACAATAAAATTTTTGGTAGGCGGTTTTGAAATCAAGATAGGCGGTAAACCGGAAATCACTGGAGCATGTAATCGATGCATACTTGTCACCAGTCTCACTCTTCTCACAAAAATTCAAGATGGTGGACAATGATCGTTGTAGTTTCGATTGCGTTGCAGTTTTCATAGTACAGCAACAAAGATTGGGTTAAAATTTATTTTAATGAACTTTAGAGAACTTTAATCAAAATTTACAATTACATTGGGAAGTGGCTAAGTAGGCGGCAGAATTAGCAAGAGTAGACGGCGGAATCTGCCGGTTGCTGGCTTCTATTGAAAACCCTGCCACCCTGCCTTGACCAATCACAGCTCAAGAAACTCTATATTCATGTCTAAAATCATACTAAAATCATTCATCACATTATTGTAAATAATGCCCCAAATTACGTATATTTTTTTGATGCTTTTTTTTGTAAATAGGCTACCTGACTTGAATAGCTGTAAAACTATTTCAGGTAACCTAGCACCACTGTCAGTATAAAATAATATTGGTAATCTAGAAAACTTGGTGTGAAATGATATGTACTTATTGACTGAGTGGGAGGGCCACACGGGAACCAAGCTCAGCGAGGTCCGTATAAATGACCAAGAGCCAAATATTTTCTCGTACACCCCTACCTAACCAGTCAATAAGTATTTTATCATATTATGACCCCAAATAAAAAAGATATTTAAAAAATGCAAACTATGTCAATATGGTCCCAGGATTTGAGCTGGGCCGTATAGATTCGTATGCCCCTGCTCGCTCAAAGCTGTACGGCCCTGCTCACGCCATTTTCCCGAAGGTTTTTCTAAGAGCGCGTGCCCAGGCAGATACGGTGATATGATAAAGTAACCTTATGCAGGTGGCTGCAATTAAGACATAGTGGGCAGAACAAAATGAGTTCAGGATTTTAAAATATTTGAGTAAGAAACCTTATTCTGTCTTTTGCTCTTAAAGTTATCTGCACATCTGCAAATTTATAGTTATTGGTTGTGTTCAGAATGTGAGAAGAAAAGTGGGTCAAGTTGGCATTGCAGTGTATTGTGGAACACATTTTCAAGATGACATCTATTGTGTTCCCTACAACAGCCCTAAACCCTTGTAGCCTTTGCAAATCTTAAAGTCACTATAATGACAAAAGTAGTAGTACATTGTTGTTGACAACTTTAGTTAGGAAAAAGTGTTTATTATGAGCTATACCTTATATCCTTTGTTGTACAAAGCCCAAGATAGTTGAGTTGCAACTGTACTCTTGCCAACTCCTCCTTTACCAGACAAGACAAGGATAACATGTTTTACTAACTTCAGGCCATCTGGAGCTAAAAGGTTTAATGTGAAATAGTCAGGAGAAAAAGGTGCAGGGAGATCAATTCGATATCTATAATAACTTTCAATAAAAAAAATTGTAAGGGTTTTTAAAAAAGATTTTTTTAAGCTGATGGATTTAATTTTTCAGGAGTGGAGTTCCTAACTTTTGGACCATTAAAATGTAAATTAAGCTTTCCATAATTAGTGAGGATTTTAGGTAAACAATAAGATTATCCTTTGTTATAAGAATGAGTTTTTGAAACTGGGGTGAAGAAATCTGAGAAAGCTAGAGGTGCAATCTTAGCATTATGGAAATCATACAGGAGTAAAGCAGTTTCTGTAAAAAAAACAAGATATGAGAGTTAAAGCAATTGCAAAGATTTAAAAAGAAGACTAGATCAAGTGGGCATTAAATTTGGGAAATGTCATGATACAAAGGGCTTTCCTTTGCAAACTAGTAATATGAGATAAGAGGAGTGGTATTAAAGTATTACCCCAGATATTTAGACCATAAGTTAGAAAAGGATAAATTTAGAGAGAAGTAAAAAATAGTTCGGATTTTATATAGGAGACAAAGTGCCTACTTTTTGATAGAACTCCAGCGCTTTTAGAAATATTTTTAGAAACCTAATCCCCTACCAAATCAATAAAGACTCTCCTTTCTTAACAAGGATAGCACTTAATAGCCAAGTGGCTAACAAAACCTGGCCTATGGCCCTCGATCGTTCCATGATCGATCCAATAGAAGTTGATTTTTGCGGAGGGAGGAAAACCGATAAACCCGGCTAAAACCCCTCGTAGCAGAGGAGAGAAGTAACAAAAGACTCTACTCACATACGACATTGAGTCTGGGAAATAATCGAACTCTTTTCCAATAAGCAAAAGCAACCCCTTTGCTTTTCAGTTCCCGGCCAAGTAAAGACGAGATATTTGAGCCAAAAAAATAACAGAATATTTGAGACAGGAAAAAAAAGATATACAGAGTATCAAAAGGAAACATAATGATATTAAAAAATGACGATCAGATTAAGAAACAAAGAGAGGAAACTTAAAAAACTTAGAAAATTTTTTACCTTCAATATTGTCCGCCATATTGTTTTTGGTTCTAGAAGCTGCTGACCACATGTGACTGCCTGGAGGGGAAAGCACAGGTAGCCCAAGCTTGGTTTCTGAGGTTGTGAGGAAATGTATGGGGATTTTTCAAAAATTTCAATAAAATCATTGAAACGTAAAATAAAGCCTCGAAATTTTACCCGATCATTTCGAAGTAGTACTTCTTTCGCTCTGTGTAGTTATTTTTTTAATTTAGCCCGTTTTAAGGATTTTTTACCCCACCAGTAAGTTATTTGGTACTAGCTTGTTGGTGACTTCAAACAGTCAAAACGTTGGGCTTCCTGTGGCAAAACACTGTTGACAAAAGCCTCGCCTGTGACACGAGTCGAGGCCGGCAGTTCATTGGAAGTAAAAACGTAGCCGAGATATCCTATAAAAATGTCACTTTCCGATAAAAACAGGTAAGAATTCTTCTAAAATAATCATTCTTTTATCTGTTCGTTTTTTAAGAGCTAACTTATTGAATTGCAATCAAAACAAACTGCGAGATCTCGCCTTGCTTCTAATGACCCCAGAGGTCAAAGTACAACTTTACCATGCTTAACTTGGCGATGTCAATATTGTCACTCAGAAGCATTTGCTCAAAGAAATCTTTCTATCATTTGAAAGGCCATTATTTCAACACGCAATTACCGAAGTTCCGAGGGATTTAAAGGTTTAGCACATTTGCTATAGGACTTTTTGTAAGACAAGCTTTTATCAACTCAAACAATAGGTGTAGGGAATACTGGTACTTACTAAAACGAGGAATGAGCTAAAATGACCTACAATGACCTATGATAAATAACCGTCAATAAACACATAATAGGAGTTGTATTTTACTTTTACGAATCCAAACTGCATCAAAACGCTTGCCAAACTATCATACTATATGAAAGTTTACTCCTTTGTTGCTAAAACAAGGAACGACCTAAAACCACCTGAAACCACCTGAAACCACCTAAAACGACCTGAAATGACCTGAAACGACTTGAAACGACCTGAAACCGTCCTGAAACGAACTGAAACGACCTGAAACCATCCTGAAACGACCTGAAATCAGCCAAAACATCGAATCTCCATCGAGTTTGTCTTCCAGTTTGTGTATGTTATTGGCTTATTTATCGATCTATCGAGTGTTTGTTTTCCTTGGAAGAATGCCATATAGTTGCCCATAAGTATAGTCTCCCATAGAAGTATTCCATCATACCTCACCTCTCCCTTGCTCTGATTACCTGTTCCTAGCTATGATCAACTATCCCTACCTATGATCAACTATCCCTACCTATGATCAACTATCCCTACCTATGATCAACTATCCCTACCTATGATCAACTATC